CAGACAGTTTATACATATTATATCGTTACACTAGATGTTGATTAAAATGTACCGAACGTAATTTGAACTATCACTTTTTCAATTAAAAAAATTATACGTCATACTTCCTGTCTTAATACCTATTTAAATAATAAAAATAAGTAGATTACCGCTGATAGCTACTTTAACACATATTATTATGTATATGTACATGTAATAAATATATGAAATAAGCGTACGTACGTATAATATACTTAAGAACGGTGGTGGCCCCGGGTGTGACAACAGACGCTGCTGGTTCGATTCCATAAAGAATTTTGTTTGCGTTGTAAGATCTTTGTGTCACTAATAATAACAAACTAGCGGGATATTTTTACAAAAAAATATATGAATACCATTGTGGTAAAAACATCATATACGAGTACACAAACATACATATCACTACGCCGGTCTTCCATTGGGATAGGCGTTTTACGTTAGCCTGGAGGTTATCAGATAGTCTTTTATCCAATGGGTCCTTTTGTTCATCATCTTTTGAGCTTCTAGTTCTTTCACTCTCTTTTGTCTTTATAATTTCTTTAATAATAAACTAAACATTTTACTCCTCACTAAACATGAATCAAGAGCGTTAATCACTAAATGGTTGGACGCAGTTACGATGAAGTTGAGGAACTTCTTATAATTAAAGCCTAAGTTATTAGTACAAACAAACATTTGCCACACACACACACACACACACACACACACACACCCACACACACACACACACACACACACACACACACAACACACACACACACACACCCACACCCACACACACACACACACACACACACACACACACACTCCCACGCACACATACACATACACACACCCACACACACACACACCCACACCCGCACACCCACACCCACCCACCCACCTACACACCCACACACACAGACACGCGTAAACACACTCATAAACAACGATATTACTTTGCATGGTTTGCACTTTTTTATTGTATCTATGGGTTTGCATGGCATGGATTAACACGATTTAATTCCGCCTTCCCCTTTCCATCATCGGGGGACTAGGCGTAGGCTTGCCTGTGTTCTGGATATTCCAAAGATTGGCACGAAGCGTTATGCTTCCACATTTATATGGCGAATGGCTATGGAGTGGAATTCCCTGCCCGCAGACTTGTTCCCTGGACGTTATATATAACTTGCCTTTTCAAGGCGAGAGTGAATAGGCATTATTTAGGTGTGCATGCTCCATCGTCGACCTCATCGTCACTTTCCATCAGGTGAGATGGAGGTCAAATGCACACTTATACATTTAAAAAAAAACACGCATGGTTTATAAGCATTCAAATTGTATTGTTAATTTAGTTAGTTCACATTTAAAATTTGTTTTCTTTTTCATTATTTTATAACCTTAACCTTAAACTTAATTTTAACCTCTGCAATCATAGTATTAAGAGAAAGAGAAAGTTGTCTGTGGTGGGAGACCTGGTATCCTATATTACAAGCTCCTGCTTAGTTTAAGTATCAGTCTTTTGCAAACATAATATAAAAACAATTTTTGTCTATCTTACTTTGGTTCATATTCAGTTGTTATGTTTGTGGAGAAAACATACACACATTATTATTATTATTTGCTTCATCCTTCTCGGCTTGTTAGCTGGTTTGAAACGAATTTACGGACCGAAGTATGCAGTATGGCGTGTATCTACGAGTATGTGGTGGGTGTGCAATAAAATTATCATTGCTTATTATTATTATTATCATCATCATCGTTATCGTAATCGTAATCGTCATCGTCATCGTCATCGTCATCGTCATCGTCATCGTCATCGTCATCGTCATCGTCATCGTCATCATGATCATTATTATTATTATTACACCTATTTTAGATTCTCGCCTCTCCAAAGGCCTAAAAGATTATTTTTGAATTTTTAAATGGGAGAGGCGATTATTATTATTATTATTTTACAAATTTTATACTCCGCTTCTAATTCCCTAGTACCGATCGTTCCACACATCCTGTGGTTACCTTTAGGAAATAACCAACTTGGCCCGTTTTTTCTTATCATACATCATAGCCTTCCATACTTCACTATCAAACCATACGTTCGTGTTGTTAGACACACGACACCTGGATGGTCAAATTCGTCGGCTTTTCTTTTATCAACTTCCATAAGTCTTAAAATTCCTTCATTCCCACTGCCACAACTCACCATCACTTATCGAATCTATCTCTTAATTTCTTCCTATATTCATCAATCACACCTTTCCCTTGCAGCTTTTCCATGCCTGTCGAGACGTTGCTACGTGAATAAGCATTAAATATTTTCCACATCCATAACAAGCTGTTCAGGTGTTAGAAAGTCATCTACATCCCGTTTGAAGACTTCCCAATCGGTTTTCTTGTTAACTAAAGAGGGTTTCTTAATATGCAACATTTACACTAAGTAAAAATAATGTGCTAACGATAATCGCTCGCATATGCCAGATATATTTTTCCGTACATGAGCATGACATACCTTATAATGTTATTCTAGTAATAGTTAAATATTCTTTACGTAGAAACTTTCCTTTTCGTGACTTTTTCAAGATCTCTTGGTTCCGGTGATCCACCCTGTACTTGTGACTACATAATTAATGTGTATGTCGTTGTTTCTTATGTATGTGTCATATATGTATTTTCAGACGTTTATAAAATTCTATTGTAAATAGAAAAATCCTTAAGTGTCTAATCATCAAGATAAATTAAATCTTTATTCCGAAAACAAAAAGTTTACATCTTGTCTGAAACACGCAAGCTGGCTGTATCGCTTCATAATTCACAAGAAAAATGTCTGAATAATGCATATTTTCCATCTGTTGCCATAACTTGTTACACTTTATGCTTAGCTTCGATTTTTATGGCAGATAAATTACAATGCAAATTGTCCATAAAGAAACGCAACTTAATAAATTGAAATTAAAAAGCGTAGGAAGGTATATAACATACCAAGGGTCTTACATCGTTTCGAGCCGTTTGCCTTTCATGGCTACGATTTGAAAAGACAACGTCTCTTTCTGAATTCGGACCAGAGAAAAAAACTGTACAAATTGTAATACTAGCAATAAGTTAAAAGTAAAAGCAAAAGCTACAATATTATATTAGGTATACACCAAATGTTGTAAATTGACTTAAATGTAGCTTTATTCTCCAATTTATTGCGCAGTACTTTTACAATGGTGAGAGTGCAGAAGAGCTGACCTAAGGTTTTGACCTCAATATTCGTTAGGACCACCAAAGAAATTCACCAATATTAATAATATCAAATTTTAAACACATTTTAAGTTGCGGTCAATGTTGACAAATATTCAGAAAAATACTTTGCTCTCTGCTGGAGACAGTGGATTCCATTCTAACTAAAAATACATAAAACTCCATATACGTATTTCAAAGAAATTATGTGTTTATATTTTGATATTACTAAAAATCGTGAGGCACTTTGAGCAGTTTCGAATGTTAAATCACTTCACATGACAGACATTTGCATGTATTCTTTAAATTTAATTTCCGTAAAAGCGAATTTCGCGAAAATATCAATGAAAAGGTATTTTGAACAGTAATTTTCTAGTAAAATTAACTGTGGGCTGCTTAGGTCATTCGTAAACTGATACTGAAACTGATCTCAGAAACTTTTAGTGGTTAAATATTTTCCAGTAAATACAACGTTCGAAAGAACTTCCTGACGTGGAAGGTAATAAATACCAGAGAACAATAAATACGGTAGAAGTGGTTAGTTGGCGTGTGACGCATGCCATCATTAGGTCCCGAAAGTCCTACTCCAGCTCAGTCCGCCATTTTCGCTTTGTATGGTATGGTTGGGTCACCAAAAATATTACCTACCCGTAGTAGTATTTCATAACATCGGTTAGTCTTATTTTAATAAATTTTCAATTTTCTGATTACGAATTCGTCGTCGACGTTCGTCGTAGTCCAACTACTGGTTGCAAGAAAGCAGCACATTGAATAAAAATTCAATATAAAATCAACGTCGCAACTTGCAATAAAAATATTGAACTTTCAACGGTATAGCGACTGAGTAAAGTTTAAATTAAATAGACAATCTCGAATTTGTTACATTTTTTAAAATTAGAAACTATAATCAATCATTATAAAGATTTCGTCGTGTTTGTGTGCGTTTTGGTGACAGCGGTTCCGAAAGTAAGACAAGATAAGGCACTTCCATTGTTTTTTTTTCTTCCGTTATAAATACTGACTGTGACTAAGAAACAAAGTTAGTGATAATGCCATATCTCTGGGTTCTCAAAATTCATATGAAACCTACTAACAATTCAATATCTAACATTTTTGGCTGCCACCCTATGTCGCCTGTAAGCGATCACTGGGCTGAGGTGGATAAATAACTTTACTCGCAAAAACATATAAAAAAGTCACTAAAAATACTTGGGTCAAAAAGTCTTTTACATCCTCTTTTGGTAATTTAATATTTTGATTATAATAATTGTATTTATTCATTTAACACTTTTACTTGGTTTTCAATAGAGTGATTTATATAGTATAGAAAATTTTCAAAAACATATAAGTAATTAAAATATAAAACACTTAAATAGATGCAATTACATTTTTTAAATCTGAATTTCATTTTGTATGTGTTTAATAAACATGTAACATGAATCTTAAATGGGTATTATGTATTTTATTTATCTTGTACAAATCATTATATCTTGTGAAACATTTTTCTGACAAACAGTACAGATAATTAGAAAAAAACATTCACCATCTGCATAATGTTGTCCCAAACGAGACGTAATGAAAAAGAAACGTATTTCACACCCCACAGTCCGGTTCAACACAACGAAAGGCTTCGAATAATAATAATTACACTTCAAAGCAAAACTTTAAAATACAAAAGCCGCAAGTCTTATAAATAAGAAATACTCATAATTATTTACGCTCCATAAATAGCCAAATATACAAAACCGAATTAATAAAAAATAAACCAATTTTAAACATACCCAAAAGCTGGCCATGTAGTGTGAAAACAATAAAACTCCCGGAAGAGACATGATTGCCGGCTAAAGTTCACGACAAGACTGACAAACGGAACACGACGCGCTTTTTATTCATTCACTTTTTTATTTACTAACATCACACAGGAGTGACTTTTATCTGTCTCGATATAAGTGTAACGCCGCACAAGGGAGCCGTGCGCCTCACAGGCCCTCGTCACTAGCGACTGCGAAACTGCCAATACGTTGCGCCCCTATATGCCTGTTTAATTCTTGCTTTGCTGAACGCTTCATTTCACGCTCTATAGCCACGAATTATTAAATATGCATCTTGAATGTCGAGCACCAACTAGTGCAGTACATCATGTATTGAATACGAATAGATGGCGGCGCCCGACTTTCTTCTCGACCTGTTTAGCTCTTGGCTTTGATCGACCTCAATAATGTGGCCGATAAACGTATGGCTATGAAAAATTAGAAATCAGTTCAAGGCCATCCGACCTCATTACAATATTTATAAAAGATTTGAATAATTGCACTCAGTTACAAAATACCATCACTTAATTGGGTTATACGTGTTGCAATAAAAAAGACTGCTTTTTACGCTCAATATTAAATTATTACTTATTGTGAAATAATAAATCATATGTATGAATACAATGGATTTATTATAATGGTCAGATCAATGCAGGGTCTGTGCATATAATAAACGCGTTTAATTCGTTATACTTAGGTATATGATATAGTTAATCAATACCAAAAGCGTTGCATTTCAAATCTAACAAATTAATGCCATCGGGGGTTAAACGCACGCGAACGTGATGTTGTATCAGTTTAAACAAATAATGACTTTGTAAAAGCTACGCAACATTGAAATAGGTGCATTTTATACTTATAAACAGGATACAACTTAGATTGTAATAATTTTATTGAGATCACCATCAAAGCCAAATTATTAAAAACAAAATTAAAATCACTTTGAAATCGAACTCTTGTCAAAGTTTATTTTATTATATGTTTATTATACATTTTATTGTCCTTGTCTCATGAATGGACTTAATATCAAACAAAGTAATTTTAATTAAATTTTGATTATGGTTGAAATAAAAATGGGGAGTGCTCTGAGGAAATTTTCGAACTGGTGCCACCGTCTCGTTTCTACCATCACACCTCCCGCCAAAGGAGTACAGTCCACCCTCAAATCTTAGACGCATCTTAGATGCATTGTAGTTCGTTGTCCTTCCTCGAATCTGGAAAATGTGAATGATCTTCCTCCTGAAGTATTTCCTTTGCGCTATGACTTGGGGCTCTTCAAAAAGCATGTTTAGCCGAAGCCAAATTAAAGCGCAAGGTTGCCGAGCTCGCGCATCAAGTTGCGAAGGCTGAAGAGGAAGCAGCACGTGCAGAGTTCGAGGCTGAGAGCGCTGCGATCGAGGCAGAAAAGACTGCTAGTTGCTCAACGACAGCTTCCATGAAGCGGACGGCGCAATGGGTAAATGACACCCGCAGCACCGCGAGATCGCCATCACGCCTTGTGCGAACCACAACGGTCACCATGCGTTATTAAGGTACCACGATCTAATTTATTATGTGAGGATGTGCAACGCACCATGCGGGAGATGGCCGTCCACTTACCTTTCGGGGCAGGTGCCGCGTCACCTGCGAAGGCACGTCACGAATCTCAAGATACGAAGTTTGTCGTCTGACTAACGCTATTACTTTACTCGCACAAAATAGCGATAGACCTAAATCAGTAATTATAGATCGAATCAGTTTTTCAGGGAATATTTCGGATTGGTCTTTGTTCAAAAAGAGTTTTGATGGTACCAAGGCTGCGTTTTCGAATAGGAAAAATATGGCGCGCCTGCGTAAGGCTTTATGTGGTGCAGCGAGCGAGACCGTCAAATGCTTGCTCCTAACAACAGATGACCCTGAATTGGTAATAAGGGCTTTAGAGCTCAACTTTGCGCGCCCAGAGCAGATCGTTCTCTACGAAATAGCTGCAATACGCGCCCTGCCTAAGATAACTCGAAACTACGACATTTTCACATTTTCAGCTCGAGTACAAACATGTTTGTGCATAGTGAAAGAATTAAACAGGCACGAATATATTTATTCACCGGAACTGGTACACACACTTCTGGCTAAATTAACATTAAATTTACAGGACATGTGGTTGGATTTTGCGGATCATCACTTCGACCTTGAGATGCCGATGCTGGAGTTGTTGGCAACATTTCTGGAGCAAGAAGCTAGCAAGCGGGCTCGTTTTAGCCCCAGTCCTTTGTTGTGCAGCTCTACTCCTCACTTCGACAAGCCGAAGACGCAGCCGCCGGCGGCGTTTCACTGGGTGCACGCTCACACCACAACAAACAAATTAACTTGCTTGTCTTAATCATCCGACCACACAATAAAATCATGTCCCAAATTCATTTCACTCTCCATTGACGAGCGTTTGTCGTGGGTTCGCCAGACGAAAGTCTGTCCGAAGTGCATTCGCAAAGGCAAGCACAATTGGCGAACATGCAAAGCCAATTCATGCAACATTTGTCGTTCGAATCATCACCATTTATTGCATTTAGATTCGTCTCATCCCAATAATAATTTCACGGAAATTCAACTGCATATAATCTCAGTACAGAGTACTAAAAAAACCGACCTCAAAAGTACGTGGAATTACATCTGTTTGCTAAGTTTTATTGAAATATCCCCTAGTTCGCCACTATACAGGACTTGATACTGGAGATAATAAAAATAGGTCCTCACTACACCACACTACTCAAAGTATATAGAGAGAAAAACGCCTTGAATCAGAGTAATAGCAAAATCAACTAAATATTGTTAAAAGTAATTGCTCCTAAATTAAAGTCAGGCGCTATTTATAAAAATGAATTTTCATGCGTGAACAGCCACCCTTTGAGGTGGTTGATTTTCTTCAAAATAAAATGGGACCACTATGGAATTACCCTCTTTCCAACAAAAAAAGAATCATGAAAATCGGGGCACAAATACCGGAGTTATCGCGTAACATACATACAAAAAAAAAAAACAAACAAAAAGAACATATAGTCGAATTGAGAACCTCCTCCTTCCAACCTTTTTTTGAAGTCGGTTAAAATTTTTTTCTATGTCAGCTGTCAACAGTACTTTAGTGTTACAAAATGTCAACGTCAACGACAACATTTTTAATCGTAGCGTAACAGACCAAGGAGGTTGCGAACCTATCGCGCTACGAGATCTGATGAAGGTTTTCGATCCTGTAGGGTTTTTATGTCCCGTCATTACTTCGGGAAAAATTATTTTTCAAAAGACTTCGCAGTTCGAGTGAAGGAGTGGGACGATGTATTACCCTCTGCTGAACGCGAGTTTTGGGGGGAATGATACCGCAACGTGGAGTCTGTAAAGTTTGTAACGATACCACGTTGCTATTCCGACTTTGTTGGTCCTGTTGATGGAGAGTTGCACTCCTTCACAGACGCAAGTAATCAAGCTTATGCTTGTGTTTCTTACTGGCGCTTCGTTTACGCCGACGGCTCCGCCAGAGTTGCCTTTATTATGAGCAAATCCAGAGTCGCGCCATTGAAGCCAATTTCAGTGCCTCGACTTGAATTGCAAGCCGCGATGTTAGGGGCTAGGTTAGCAACGACGATCTGCGAGCAGCACCGAATTAAGCCCACTAAGCGATATTTCTGGTGCGATTCACAGACCGTCCTCGCTTGGATCCGGAGACCTGCTGGTGATCCCAACACCTTCGTGAGAAATCGTATTGGCAAAATCTCCGAGCTTACTCAACCTCACGAGTGGTTTTGGATTCCATCCGAGCTTAATGTGGCTGATGATGCCACTCGAGTCGTGACAGGTGGTATGGATTCGCTAGGCAGATGGCTACGGGGCCCCGACATCATATTGTCGGGACAAATAGAGTTCGCCGCTGAACCGTGTACTCTAGTCAGTGATCACAATGTCAAAGCATTTTTAACGTTAGCTCCTTCCAGGCCCTTCAACATTGTATATCCAAAATCTCAGGATTTTGTTTCTTGGTATCGACATCTCCGTGCCACAGCCCGAGCCCACCAGTTTTTACGCCTCATTAGAGAAAAAGGTTTTAGTAAACGTCCTCGCGTAAGACGGAGGGCCGCGTCCGCTCGCCCGAGACGTTAATAACGCTGAATTGCACCTGCTGCGCCAAAGTCAATTAGAGAGTCTAAGCGAGAGCCATTTGGAGCGCTTACGAGTGAAGCTGGACGACGATGGCCTGTACCGCCTGGATGGTCGAATCTCTACAGTCAGCGACGTCGCGAATGATGTGAAGCAACCCGTAGTTTTGAACGGACGCAATTACATAGCTCGGCACATTGTGAGCTACTATCACGTATGGGCTGGCGAGATAATTGTCAATGAACTTCGGCAGCGCTACTGGGTCATTCATCTACGTCCCACGGTCAGAGCAGTAGCTCGCAGATTACCAGATCTGCAAGAACAGGAAAGCCAAGCCATCCGTTTCACCGACTGGAGACTTGCCTGCTGAACGCCTCATTCATCCGTCCCTTTTCCATTTCCGGTTTAGACTAATTCGGCCCTGTGGACGTCGTGGAGAGAAGCGTTGGATCACCCTATTCACCTGCTTCTCCACGAGAGCTGTCCATTTGGAGGTTGTGGGAAGTTTGACAGCAGATTCTGCGATAATGGCTCTACGTCGTTTTATGTCCAGACGAGGATGTCCGAAGCAGATTTATTCCGACAATGGGACCGCCTTTGTTGGCGCCAGTCACGAGATTCAGAAGGAGTGGAAGTCGCATCACCCGACTATCGCAGACTTTGCAGCTGGCAGACAGATCGAGTGGCACTTCCTACCTCCGTCAGCGCCCTCTATAGGTGGAGTTTGGGAGCGTTTGGTCGGATGCGTCAAACGAACCCTTGCAGCAACGCTAAAGAAGAGAGCACCTCGGGAGGAGGTCCTGTACACACTACTACTCGAGGCGGAAGGCGTAGTAAATTCACGACCGCTGACGCATGTGTCTGTTGAGCCACGGGATGCTACAGCACTAACGCCTAATCACTTCCTCTTGGGCCAATCGTCTCCACTCCCCGGACCAGTAGATCTCACGGACAACGACCTAGTACACGGTCTAATTGGAAAAATGCCGTGAGACTCACAGATCATTTCTGGAATCGATGGGTGCGGGAGTATTTACCGCTGTTGAACCC